TTGTTGGCGGAGTGGTCGCAAGTGCGACTACCGGGTTCGATACCCGAGTCGGGCAAAATACTACTGGGTTTTAAAAAAAATCTCAATGGTAGCACGGAAGTCTGGAATTTTTCCCGGTATATGGCAATAGGCTCATCCCCTATTACATGGGACTCATAACATAAATAGTGAAAAGTGGGTGTTACATTGTCCAGTGGCATTAAGTGCCGTAATGTGTACCTCTGCCTACCCCTTCGGGGATAAAAGGCGTGATGTTATGTTATGCTAAATTAGGCTCAAAGCTAGCTAAGTGTGTTCAATTAATAAAGGCAGTAGGCTTGTCCTAGACATACGATTTTATACTAGGACCTCAATTTTCTGAGATAAAGGCCATCGAAAATATGAAATATATAACTATGTTAATATTTAATGAAAGTGTAAGGATTATGTGGCCAGAGATGTTGGAATAAATAAAACAAAATAGTACTTAAAAGGTTTTTATTCATCGTACGGATAGATGTTTAACATTTGTATTATGAGCGTATAATATGTACAACCAAATATTTACTCTACAGAGCAGAGCTACATTATATTCCTGCCTTATAAAGTGGAGGCCTATAAAAGGCCTGCAAATGACCGATTAAAATAATTTATCCATTTAAGCTTGATATATAACTCATCCGTAAAGCAATGAAATAAACGTTTGATTCTTTCGTCTTTCTGCATGTAGGATAACAAATTAAAATAATTTGTCTCAAATATATTTGAGTTTTTGATTGCTTCACGTGACCTCCAGTTATATAAGACATGAATCGTATATTAAATATAAAATTATATTTAAGTATAATGTGGCTACAATATTGTCTTGTCTTATATAGCAGACCTACTAACAGTTGAACCAGTCGAGATGAAAACGTGTTTCATGAGGTTAAACAAATATTCCACAGGAAGGCCAAAAAGCATAATGAATTTCTTGGTTCATCTACTTGATGATTTTATTAATATGTTATTTTTCTACTATTTACTGTTAGAACGTAATAGTGTTCTTGTGCTTAGCATGCATAGACCACGTACCACGGCTACGCATCGAGATATACAAAACCAGACTATCATGAGCTCCCCTTGCTTGATCTTTCCGCACATGCGACGGTTCAGTTTATAGTGGTTTTGCATACATAGGTCTAATTTATGGTTCCGATGCAGATGACAAAGGTCATATAGAATTTCATATAATTTTCTATTACATTTTCAAATGCAAAATTTTCTTCTGTTTCTATCTGAAGCCGATAGAGACATCTATATTGTTTTGTTATGAAATAAAAATGAAGGTCTTTATATATGTGTTTTTACATGTGTGTAGTTGCAATAAACGATTTGACTTTGACTTATCTCGCGTAGTGGTAAGCGATGATGCGGCCTACGATGCAACAATAAGCAACCTATTCACCTCAGGCCTAGACACCCAGGTTCAGAAAACACAGACTCTGACAAAGGTCATTGCGAAATTGTGAATTTTGTATTGTAGATAAATAATATAATGTGGAAATAATTACACACGTACTTATTTTTTAATTTTTTCTTTTGTAATAAGATACAAACGTATTTATGATGAGTTAAAACAAAAGTACATTACTTGAGAAGGCATCCTATTTAAACAGCTTGTGCAAAATATTACAACCATTAGAAAAATTCCTATAGATAGGTGCATTCCTATCAATTCTCTTGGGGAATCCTGATTTTATATGAATGAGATCTCTTCGAAAAATATATCATTAATTAGCAAAAAAATCGCATAAGAAAAATTATAAAATATATTTTAAAATCGATAACCTCCTTTTTTAGGAGTCGGGTAAAGAGAATACTCTTTTTCAAAGGTCGATGATGAAGAAATTCAGGCAAGGTAATTTGTATATTAAGTATCTACTTTTAGCAAATTTCGAAAATAATTCAATATTAAAATATCAACGAGGACGACGTAGTAGAGTAAACTGAGACCTAGATATAATATCTTGCATATACATATTAATATGATATTTCAATATATAGCACCCTTAGATATATGGCAGTATATGATATGTACTTACATAGATACAATAATAATATAAATATTATACGATATTATAAAAATATGCTTTTTGAAAAGTCAATCAATGGGCCCCGGTGTGGCTAGAAATTGATCGAGTGTCTTCGAATAGTTATAATTTAAAGGAATATAATATAATATGATATTTGTTTCAAGTAATGAGCAGGAACAACTATGTACTCTTGGGAGCAAAGAAACGGAACCATTAGCCCAAAGTCAAAATCATTTACTTCAATTATACCAGGGGACTTATGTCGGAATACTGAAACGCTACTCAATTTTAAGTCGTACTTAAGTATAGTTCTATCTCTACAAATTCTTTGTAAAGTGACAAAGATGGCACGATATTTGAGCACGACTTAAAATTGAGTAACGTTTCAGTATTCCGGCATTAGTCTGCTATTACAATTGGGTGGTTTCCAGGGTATCAAAATTAAAAATCTAATTAGTCCGTAGGTTAGATAATGAACAAATATTAGACACGTATTTTTTCATCATCATCATCAACAGCCTATAAATGCCCACAGCTGAGCAAAGCCTCTTCCACACGGAGAAGGTTTGAGCATCAATCACCACGCTTGCTCAATGCGGGTTGGCGATTACAAACTTATAATTAGAAATTATAAGTCCAGGTTTCCTCACGATGTTTTCCTTCGCCGTTAGTCAGTGATGTTTAGATAATCTTAGAAAGTACTTACACATAACTCTGAAAAAGTCACATTGGTACTTGCCGTTGGTAGGTTTCGTAACCGCACCCTCATGCATTAGAAGCGGGCGTCTTAAACCTCCGGGCCACCACAACCTTAGCTTAGGGACGGAGCCATTAGGTTGTATAGCTCCGTCCCTCTTGCACTGCTCAATGATCGACATTCTGATAGTATTGTATAGCAGATTCGGGCCCCAGAAAGACACTTTTGAACGTCAACAAAAATCTACACTTTGGAATGAACAAATAGCTTCACTATTCGATGGAGATGAAACTCTATAGGTTATTGTTTTTCAATCAGGTTCACAATACTATTCTCTAGTTACATAGGTTTGTTAGTTCCATAGCGTTTCTTCTTTTTCATTTCTTGATGAGTATTTTCTGCCACAAGTATTGTATTTATTGGTACTGTATGTCGTATTAAAGCATTGCCATTCAACGTGGCAATGCTGCCAGTCTTCTGGGAACGTTCTCCTGTGATAGTGATGCGGACGAATACTTTGGCGCCTAAATTAAGGGTATAATTTTTGTTGTATTCTTTTTTACTTTCGTTTTATGTTATAGTTTAGTTGTAGTTAATTTTAAGTTGTAAATATTTATGTAGTTATTAAAGTTGACACATTAGTATTAAAGGGAATTTGAAACCTTTAAAATGAGAGCAATTTGTTGTAAAAAGATTTTTTTAAGTTATAGAAGGTTCAATAATATGAAAAAAAAAAACGCTAGCGAGTTCGTTTCTTTGCTTCCAAGTGGACATAGATAGATGATATTTTCTCATTGATTTATCATGGGTCCATTAAAAACTTGGCTAGGTACATACATGGTTTAGTAATGGTTTAAAATATACACATTTCCATATAAAAGAGTGAGTTTTTGTATCGTATTATAATTTATGAAGTGTTTTTTGAATGGGTCATGAATTGAACAAGTTAAACAAAAAAATATTTTTTTATTTACACATTTTTTTATAATTCTTATACACCTAACATATACTTTTTTTATTTTTTATATAATACCAAACCTTTGACACGTGTAAGTAATATCATTCGATTTTCTTATTTTTTTTTCTAAATTATTATTTTTAATTATATCACCTAAATATAGGAACCGAAAATTTTAACAAAAGAAAAACGTTGTAATTACAACAATTTGACACATTAAGTACATATTGAATTGAATACATACACGATTAATTTTAAAATATAGCTTTTTTACTACCTAATTTATTAATAATAACACGAAGGAAATATTTTTTAAAAATAGAGATGATACCCCTTGCCTCTTTGATTATAATTATGATTAAAAATATAAAAACAAAGGTATTCAAAATTTTGACAATTCTTATTCTTTCTAACCTATTTGTTAAACTTTTGCTATCTTTTTCTCCTTTACAGAGGAAGATAGGACTTACTTGCGACCTGTCAATTTGACATAATATATTTTATTCTCTTGTCCTTTCTTACTTCAATGTAAAGAAAAGGATAGCAATAATCCAACTTACCCAGTTAACTATCCAACCAAAAGGTATTTATTATTTGAGAGCCGTATTAATTTTCCAAAAATAAAAACTAAACTAAAAGGCATTTTTTTAATTTTTTAGGCGGCTCATTTTTAATAATACTAAAATAACAACAAATAATATCCCCCATCCAATTTAAATTCCAAACATAAAAACAACAACCGTAAAACGGGGTGAATAGAATTCAAAATGTGAATAGTTAGATACAAGAATGGGGTGAATAAATGTTAGACATGTTCCCAATAAGTTAGAACATGTTCCCAACATGTTAGAACATATTCCCAACATTTATTTTTGTGTATCTATTCAACACTGTAATTTTATCCATCCCGTTTATACCGAACTGAAATCTTTTTAACAAATTCACGTTTTTTATAAAAATAACACACCATTTGAAAAAAATACATAAATTAAATGTCTTATTTGTGCTTGATGAGACGTAATAGCAGCCAGTCTCAAGCCTATCTTTCTGTCTACTTACGCCAACAATGTTAAGATTTGTCGATATGAAATGTTGTTAAACAAACTATAAGGATGGAACTACGTCACTATAATAAAACAGAACATAGTATGGTATGATTTCATCGTAGTGGCGGTAAAATCGCGCATTGAAAAGATATCTTCTCAATCACTACATAGTATAAAACGAAGTCGTTTTCTCTGTCCCTATGTATGCTTAAATCTTTGAAACTACGCAACGGATATTGATGCGTTTTTTTTTAATTGATAGAGTATATGTATAATACATGCATATTGCACCCGTGCGAAGCCGGGGCGGGTCGCTAGTCATACGCTACTATAAATTACGAAATATTCACGTGAATATATTGAGAAAAGCTCTGCTCTAAGTGGTTAACTTCCTTCCAAGTAGTCATGATTAAGCCGTTGGTTAGCGGTGACCATCTATAGACCGTTGATGGAGACATGATTGAATTTGAAACTAAATGACGGTCATACTTATAGGCATACATACATAACCTCACGCCTGTCTCCCATGGGGGTAGGCAGAGATTATGGAACGCCAATTGTTACGATTCTTAATACCTCTTCCGCTTCATCAACAGTCAAAAAAATAAAAAATAATGAGAAAATGCCCTTACCCCCACCAGGACTAAATCTTACTATACCATGCTACCACGTGCCTGGGACTATACCATCAGATATATTGTTGAGACTGAGACTAACCATTATCTCTCGTAAACCGTAATGAGTAGTCTGACATAGAAAATGATATACAATTTATCTCGTAAATATCTAACAGCCGCTTTTCACCAACCTCTCATAAAATTTAAGGAACCCCTAAGCTAAGATAGGTGACATTTAACAACAAGTGACACCTAACAAAGATTACTTTAGATGCTACGTGGGTGATTGGTGTAAACGGACATTAATGCCGAGAATTATTATACCTTGTTATAGCACTAATCATAAACATAATTATATTATTATACTTAGTATTCTGTTTAGCCAACATTATTAAAGAAAATATAATAAAAACTTTTTTCAATCCCTTATTTACTTGTTTTAATATCAATAAGAAGGTTTTTAAAGCATGCTGGGGATTTGGTACGGTCCGAAACATTTTTAACCGACTTAAAATATGAATATTGTGTTGTAGAAAATTGTGCTTGTATTTGGTATCTTATAGCTCAAAATGTATATAAAAACATAGCCCTAGGAATTAATTTTCCTTTACAATTTACATACTTAAATTCTATATTACTGAATGATATATAGGTACTATTTCTATAGTAGACACTTTAATGGTTATTTAAAAAATTGTGACCATAAATACTTACTGACATTTAAAAAAAATCTGAGTTCGAAATATGGCAGTGTCATTTTTAATTTCGAATACATTTTTAATTTAGAAAACAGCCAGTTCTTTTAAATTCAGAATGCTTATTATTTATTTAAACTTACGGAATATCCCCAAGATTGTGGTTTGGGCGCCATTTTGATTATTTTTTATATTTTTCTTCTTTTTTGTAAATAATTCAGCTTGCGGTTGATGCGTAGCGGGATAATTCGGGCAGGACCATGCCAACAGCCTGAAAGAATTGTGCAATCTAACATGAGCTTGTTAACAACACCGTCCGGTAGTCGGAAACATGGAAAGGTCTGGAAAAGGATGGGTGGGCGAAGTCATACATCAACATCGTAATTTATCGCGGTAATACAAAATTATGAAGAAACAACATACAAATAATGATTTTCTGTAAAAGAGGACGATTTTCTGAATATATGTTTTTTGAATTTCTTGGGTAAGAATAAAAAAATTCAACTTAGATAGGAAAAAAATCAACGAAAGGCATAAATAGGTTATATTTTCCTATAAATAGCATTTTCAACCTATCTACTATCTGTGCTGTCAGAAATAATGACAGTTGTCAATGGTTAATAGTAGAATTTATAAAATTAAGCCACTGCCAAAGAAGAAAAAAAAATGATGCTAAATGCATGCTCTTATTAATAATTAATAGATATTAGAACATTTCCCATTATTTCATAATAATGTTGCTTGGTAATTAAACTGTGAAAATAGTAAAGCGGAAAATATTAGGTCGCGACCCATTGGTGGGTCGCAAGAAAAGGCATTGACTAAAATTGATGCCTTTCTTTTTTCTGGCGGCAATCGAGGAGTTATGAATAATATTATCTAGAATGACATTACAAACGATTTTGTCTATGGGTCTATGGTATCATAATATATCAAAAACTAAGTCCGGACTGAGTTATCAGCGTTGAAAGGAGTCGGAGTCGAACATTTTATATTGCTATTTTTATACAAATTATTCATATTTTTTCACAATTCCTGACTTTACATTACGCCCCACTGTACGCCTGGTACAGGTGCACTATATCACACAACAATATGGATGATTGTCAGGCACTAATTTTTGTCAGCTATTTTCTCTCAGTCGATAACTTGTGGGATGCTTCAATGAGGTGTGTCATGATCGTACGTGAACGTCAGCTGCGGTACCAATGGTGGGTTGAGTAGTCGCAGCCGCCCAAACATCTAACAAAGTACTATTTTTTAGCCGTTTATTCCTGATTGGAAACTAATCTACTTAATAATATTATATTATAATAGTATAATAGTAGTAGCACGGAGTCTGGAATTCTGCTCGGTATATGGCAAGAGGCATAATACAAAATATATTAAGTAAAAAGTACACAATACGCTTTATTTTATTCCTTGAAATCGTTTATAAATATTTATTACAAAATATTTCTTACAAATAAATGAAGAAATATGCGTTGTGTACGGTCACCATCAACAAAATAACAGAAATAATATAAGTAGCACTATTTTCACAACTTTGAACTGATTTAATTCGGACTCGGACTGAGTTTTTGATATAAGACCCATATTTTTTTTACATCCTCCATACAAATTTGGTCAAATTGTCATTTAGTGGGCCTTATCTGTAGAGACTTAGAAAGACGCACTAACCAACTGATGTATTTCGTTTTTCATATTGGTAACGGTTTAAATCCCTGAAGGGTTCTGAGTTCGGGAGCTTGATTAAGATTGGTTGTAGCACTCATAGTTCAGACAACTTTGGGAACCAAAGTAGTAATTTAAACAAAAAATCGTTACCTCATTTTCAGCTCTTTCCTCATCGCTTTGGTACTGGACATCCAACTCTGAACTGTTCACACTATTCTCCCAATCTTCTGATGACTCCACTGATGACGCGTCCAGGTCCATTTCAGCTAAAGGTAAATACATAACTCTCAATATCTATTGATCATACCTTTTAATCGCCGTAGGGACAGGCAGGGCTACACAATTACAATGTAACATAGACCTGGACAACTATTGTCGTTCAGTTTTTGGACACTATCAATATTATTATCAATATTAATACGAACACATTTGCACATATATAGCAAAAAAATGTCTGAAATCTATTTTATTTTTAAATGTAGAATTTACTTAAACTTTTTTTTAAATAAATTATTATTAAAAAAAAGTTTAAGTGCAAATAAAAAATATTGAATTAAAAGTGGTGTTAGGTATGTACTTACATTAAATACCCTATTGTCCTTAACCTTACCCTTTGAGAACAAGACGTAAATGTATTAGCCTGTAAGTTTAATTAATGTTCTTTTTTTTTTGTTTTTCTTTGTCTAAATTATTTAATGGTTATTAAGGGATTATATGGTGTAATAGTTAATGTTGATAAAGGTTATAGTAGTTTTTAAGTTTAGTTATTATAATGTGTAACTGCATTTATTGTATTAGGTGTGTCTGTGATGATAAATGTAATGTTTCAATATAAATAAAAAAAGATGAATGCCAACTCAATTCCAATAAAAAAAAACTTACCAATAACCATAGGCTCAGCATGTCGATTAGGTGGCACAGCTGGCAGTCGGAGCGCGGTAGCATTGATGGCGAGCGCCTGGGCCGCTCCGTGCCGACTGCTGCTTGAGGGTTGGGGTGATAAGTCACCCAGAGTACCGTCCGGTGATGGCAGCTCTTCATCGTATCTTACTAGCGGATGTTCCTGGGACGAAAGATAGAAATAATGTCTATAGACACTATAGATAGGAATAGTCAGTTAAGATATCCGGTCAGAGATTGACTGCACGATTGGCGCGGTGGCTCGGCAACCGGCTGCCGCGCAACGTCTAGCGGGTTCGATTTCCGCACGGAGCAACTCTGTGTGATCCACAAATTGTTGTATTGAGTCTGAGTGTTGTGTATGTGATATTGTATGTTTGTATACGCACCCACGACACAGGAGAAAACCTAGAGTGGGGTAACGTTTAAAAGAAAAAAAATGTGGAGCAATGTCTTTAAATTAAAAAACAAAGTATGCTCTATATAGCATTAATAACCCATCGTAACTTTAAAATCTCTGAATCGATAATTTTTAAAACTCACATA